ACTTGATTCTGGTTTTTGTCACAGAGACTTGGTTGAATAATCCTTGGAGGTGGGGTAATCTCTCTCAGCTCTGCTCACCAGGATTGTCTGTGCAGCAGCAGGTGAAACCTGGGGGGTGGGGAGGTAAAGCTGCAGTGATCTATCATGATTCCATCCTCCTGACCAGGTTCCCCATCCTACAAACAACATTGTGGATAATCCGGACAGAATAGAGATCCTGTTGGTATACTGCACATCCTACTAGCCGGGGCAGTCTCAAGGTTCGTGTTGGAGTCTCAGCAGCTAATCATGCTGGGAGACTTCAACATCCATGCTGAGACTGCCCTGTCAGGAATGGCTCAGGACTTCATGGCCTCCATGACAACCATGGGTCTGTCCCAGGTAGTATCTTGTCCTACTCATGCTGCTGGATACACTTTGGACCTTGTTTTCTGTGCAGGATGGGATGATGGTGATTGTGGGATGGAAGAATTTGTAACAGTTCCATTGTCATAGATCGATCACTACCTGGTCAAGTTTAGATTTGCTGGGACTCAAACCTCTGCAGGGGTGGGGGCCTGATTAAGATGGTTTACCCCAGGAGGCTTATGGATCAAGATAGATTCCTGACAGTTCTTGGGGACTTTCCTGTTGCCTTGGCAGGTGATTCTGTCAAAGCTCTGGCTGACCTCTGAAATGGGGAAATGGCCAGTGTGGTGGAGACAATCACTCTTAAACATCTCCTCTCATGGAGTAGAGCCAAATCGGCTCTTTGGTTTTCCAAGGAGTTGATGAAAATGAAGAAAGTGAGATGGAGACTAGAACAATGTTGCTGGAGAAATTTCATCTAACATGGGCTAGAGCATATTTGAAAGTCTACTCTGCGGCATTGAAAACAGCAGAGATATTTTTTTTTCTTGCTGCTACCATTGCATCTGTAGGGAACCATCCAGCAGAGCTGTTTCAAGAGCTAAGAAGGCTATTATATATTGATTCTCAAGGAAAATTCACTGACCATTTGGCAGCCTGCTATAAAGAATTTGCAAAGCACTTAATATATAAAGTCTCTCAGATCTGTTCCAGCTTGAATGTTGTTATTATACAGTTTCAGTGGATGTACTTTTGGCTACTGCTTGTCCAGTGTTGATAGGCACCTTTCAATTTGTGCAGCCTGAGGATGTGGACAGGATCCTTGGAGAGTTGAGAGCTACCACATGTATTCTAGAACCTTGCTTTTCCTGGCTGATCAAATAGGCCAGAGGGTGACTGGCAGCATAAGTGAAGGTGGTGATAATGCCTCCTTGGAATAAGGCAAAGTTCCAACTTGCCTAAAGGAGGCAGTGCCTGAACCTCTCTATATGCCTAAACCTCTCTATAATGGACAATGATTAGCCAGTGTCTGAGCCTCCAGGTCCAGGGATTTCTGAATGAAGGTTTTTAAGATCAGTTCAGGGGGTGTTGTGGTTTTAAATTCAGGAAGTGTTGTGGGAGGGATTGGGGGAATATGAATTTTAAATGCCATTTTAGTTTATCTACTTTATTTTTTTTACCACACTGCTATTATTTAATTGCTTTTTAATTGCTTTTTAACATTTGTATAGCACCTTTTAAACTTGTCTGGTGTGGAGTGTTAGCTGCCTTGAGTCCCAACAAGGAGAAAGGCAGAGTATAAATAAAGAAAAGAAAGAAAGAAAGAAATATAAATGCAGACATTCATGTACACATATCCATCCGTATATTCAGAAGCCTACCTTCTACTACACGAGCACAGAAGTCTTTTACATACTATGTTAACATTATGTGAAATCATTTGAAAATAATCTAGCTGTCTATGATGGATTGTCCACCACATCACCCTATCACTAGATCATCCTTCTGCTTTATGTTGTTTTACTGCAGCTGTCCAGCCACTGAGCTCTTCTAAATACATGTCTGATTCTCCACATACCTGGCTGCACTGTTTATTAGGCCTGTGCGGTTTCGTTCGTTAATTCGTTAATTCGTTAAACATTCGTTATTTTTGGCATTTACAAGGCGATATCAAAACACATTTTCAAACCCGGAAGGGTTTAAAAATATCGAACCGGCAACCCCCATAGATTTAACGAGCTTCCGCTCATTTCGTTAATGGGATGGAGGCTGCTGGCTGGTGCCTGGGAGCCAATCCGGCGCTCCCAAGCAGTGCACCGTGGCTGTTTGTTTTTGATTGGCCGGCGAGCCCTTTCAAAGCGGCTCCGCGCGGCCGTAGCTCATTGCTGCAGAGGGCGAGGGAGGAGTTTGCATTGGGTTGGCTTGGCTTGGCTAGCAACTGGATTGGATTCATTCCTTGCTGCTGTGAGTGCTGCTTGCTTCATTTGCTGTCTCCTACTTCTGTATCCTGCCTGTGTTTGGTCATTTTTTGGTTAATTTTCCATTTTAAAATATTTTTAATATTATTTTAATATTATTTTTAATATTATTTTAATATTATTCTTAAAAAATATTCTAAAAAAGAAAAGACTCTTTTGTTGGTGTGTGCTCTCATTTGCTGTATCCTGCCTGTGTTTGGTCCACATTTGGGCCATTTTTTGGTTAATTTTCCATTTTAAAATATTTTTTAATATTATTTTTAATATTATTTTTAATATTATTTTAATATTATTCTTAAAAAATATTCTAAAAAAGAAAAGACTCTTCTGTTGGTGTGTGCTCTCATTTGCTGTCTCCTGCCTGTGTTTGGTCCACATTTGGGCCATTTTTTGGTTAATTTTCCATTTTAAAATATTTTTTAATATTATTTTTTAATATTATTTTTAATAAAATAAATTTTCTAAAAAATTCGTTAATATTTACGAAATTTCGTAAATACCAAAACTTTTTTTGGGAAAGTTTTGTAATTATTTTAAATATCGAAACAAAAAAACACCCCAATTACAAATCGATTTTAGAACCAAATTTTTTCTTGATCAACCAGGCCTACTGTTTATATTTCTCAGTCTTCCTGCCCTTTGCATGGCCAAATGAAAACAAGAGGCATAGCTGGCTTGAATACCCAGATGCTCAGAGGCTAGCCATGGAGAACAGCACCAAGAACTTTCTCCAAATGGCACAGCACCACTCTGCCTGCCACAGCCGCCAAACACCTGCATATTGTTACTTGCAGGTCACTACTCCACCCCACTCTTAATTGTCTCCCTTTCTGAGAGACTAGAGTGGGAATTGGGCTGGTGTGCCAAAGTGTTGTTTGTCCCATTAAATCACACCATTGACTATCTTGGCAGTTTTGGGAAATGTAACAGATAGTAGGATATCTCTCCACCAATGTAATTGGATTGGCAAGAAGCTGAACAACCAAACTTATGCCCACACAGTTTAGCAAAGAAAGAAAGAAACACTGTCTATCTTGGAGATTTTTTGGAGAATGGGAGAAATTCCAGCAGATTGGAGGAGGGCCAATGTGGTCCCAATCTTCAAGAAGGGAAAAAAAGGATGACCCAAACAATTACCATCCAGTCAGCCTCATGTCGATACCAGGCAAGATTCTGGAAAAGATTGTTAAGGAAGTGGTCTGCAAACACTTAGAAACAAATGTGGTCATTACTAATAGTCAATGTGGATTTATCAAAAACAAGTAATGCCAGACTAATCTGATCTGCTTTTTCGATAAAGTTACAAGCTGGATAGATGGGGGGAATGCAGTGGATGTAGCGTGCCTGGATTTCAGTAAGGCCTTCGACAAGGTCCCCCAAACAAACTAGTCCAATGTGGGCTAGGCAAAACTATGGTGAGGTGGATCTGTAATTGGTTAAGTGGATGAACCCAGAGGGTGCTCACCAATGCTTCCTCTTCATCTTGGAAAGAAATGACGAGCGAGTGATGCAGAGTTCCGTCCTGGGCCCGGTCCTGTTCAACATCTTTATTAATGACTTAGATGAAGGGTTAGAAGGCACGACAATCAAGTTTACAGATGACACCAAATTTGGAGGGATAGCCAATACTCCAGAGGACAGGAGCAGAATTCAAAATGATCTCGACAGATTAGAGAGATGGGCTAAAACTAACAAAATGAAGTTCAACAGTGACAAATGTAAGATACTCCACAGAATGGGGGGCACGTGGCTCGAGAGCAGTAAGTGTGAAAAAGATCTTGGGGTCCTCATGGACAACAAATTAAACATGAGCCAACAAAGTGATGTGGCAGCAAAAAAGCCAATGGGATTTTGGCCTGCATCCATAGGAGTATAGTGTCTAGATCCAGGGAAGTCATGCTACCCCTCTATTCTGCCTTGGTTAGACCACACCTGGAATATTGTGTCCAATTCTGGGCACCACAATTGAAGAGAGATATTGACAAGCTGAAATGTGTCCAGAGGAGGATGACTAAAATGATCAATGGTCTGGAGAACAAGCCCTATGAGGAGTGGCTTAAAGAGCTGGGCATGTTTAGCCTGAAGAAGAGAAGGCTGAGAGGAGACATGATAGCCATGTATAAATATGTGAGATGAAGTCATAGGGAGGAGGGAGCAAGCTTGTTTTCTGCTGCCATGGAGACTAGGACGCAGCGGAACAATGGCTCAAACTACAAGAAAGGATATTCCATGTGAACATTAGGAAAAACTTCCTGGCTGTGAGAGCCGTTCAGCAGTGGAACTCTCTGCCCTGGACTGTGGTAGAGGCTCCTTCTCTGGAAGCTTTTAAAGAGAGGCTGGATGGCCATCTGTCGGGGGTGCTTTGAATGCAATTTTCTTGCTTCTTGGCAGGGGGTTGGATGGCCCATGAGGTCTCTTCCAAACTCTATGATTCTATCTGCCTATCTGTCACCTATCCAACTATCATTTTACTTAGAATATTAATCTATAGTCACACTTAAAAAGAAAGGAAATTCAAAAAAATGGCAGATGCAGGAAAAAAGTAAGGTAAAGTAAACACACAGGAAGTATGCAAACACGCAAACTAGCAATTGGTGAATATAGGCATGAAAAGATTGCCAGCAAACAGAAAGATGCAAGCTGAAACCATTTAATAAAGCACATGTTACTTACTCTAGACTTGAGACAAAAAGGCACACAGGTGTTCAGATGGCAAGCAGTGCATGATGCCCAAAGAACAGGGAAAACTGCAGAGAGAGATCAGTTAGGGGAGACAGAATAGTAGGGCTAGACGACAGATACAAACAATTCTCAAACTGTAGTTCAGTTATTCATCTTAGAGCACAGATGATTGACCTTTTCTACTTTTCTTTCTAGGTAGCATTCTCCTGAAGTCCTGCTGCATGCAGAGTATCATGTATCAGAAAATTCAGACAAGTTATCCCTTCCTGTATGAGTCCCAATAGAATTTTATGCTTCTTACAATTTTTGCCAGGAACACAAAGAGGATGGGCATCCCTGTGTAATGATCTGACCATGAGGGCAGGTTTATTATTATTAAATCATGTACACAAAACACTCCAGGCTACAAAGCCACAGATTTTTAAGCTGAATGATCTTCGTGGAGTCTGGCACACTCTGGTGCAGCTTTATTAAGGAAAGCTTGAAACCAATCTCCCTGGATGTACCTTGTAAGCTGCACTTTTGTGCCTCCAGCTACTTGATTAGTGCTCACAATCATAGTGTTGAGAGCCCAAGCGAATATGATTTGCTCTTGTTGTATTTCAACTGAAGGTTCAATTTGCTCTCACAAAAGTATGTCTGCCCTCTAGAAATTGTACCCCCTGCCGTTTTGTATTTTCCATGCATAATGCACCTCTGACTATAGTGGAAATTGGATCAGGTGGATTTTTATTTTGAAAAAAAAATCCTGTAATACAAGAAAATGACCTCAAAAGTAATGTAATACATTTTGCAAAACTTACTTCTTAGCAGAAACATACCAAGCCACCTGAAAGTAATTTGGAAAGTCAGCAAACATGGTTATCTGCCCATTCTTTGATATCATTTTATATTTTACATTCTTTTCACTTCTGCAAGTGCTGCAGCCAATTTGTCTCAAGTTAAGTGAGATTTTCTACTGTTCCATTGAAGATAGCAATGATAGAACATAGGGTGAATTGGCAAGTGTAGGGAGCCCTTCAAGGCTCAGATTCTTATCCAAACCACCATAGCATTTAGAGGTCTTTTTTTTAATGAAAAAGATTAAACTTCATCTTTGCTTCAACTTTTATATTATTTATAATAGCTAATGGTATTAATGAAAATGCATGTTTAGCTCTGTTCTTATCATTAAGATTGCTGTTAGAGAATTCTGCATGTACAGAAGTTACCATCTTATAACCAGTTCTATGCAGTAAAGTGAATTTTCAAGATATCGAACTCATCTCGGGAAGTCTGACTTGGCCACGGTTGTACACGCTCTTGTCACATCCCGCCTGGATTACTGCAACGCTCTCTACGTGGGGCTGCCCTTGAAGACGGCCCGGAAGCTTCAGCTGGTTCAGCGTGCGGCAGCCATGTTACTAACTGGAGCGGGTGGCAGGGAGCATACAACGCCCTTGCTGTCCCAACTCCACTGGCTGCCGATCTGCTACCGGACCCAATTCAAGGTGCTGGTTTTGGCCTTTAAAGCCCTAAACGGTTCCGGCCCAAAATACCTCGCTGACCGCATCTTGGCCTACGAGCCCACGAGGACTTTGAGATCGTCTGGGGAGGCCCTTCTCTCGATCCCGCCTGCCTCACAGGCACGCTGGCGGGGACGAGAGAGAGGGCCTTCTCGGTGGTGGCCCCCCGGCTGTGGAACACTCTCCCGGCACACATTAGACAGGCGCCCTCCCTCATGTCCTTTCGAAAAAGCCTTAAGACCTGGCTGTTCGAGAGGGCATTTAATTAAGTGCTAGCAATGTCATTACGGTAATGAGAATTGGAATGGTATAAGGACGAGGAGACTGGCCTACGATTCTACTAAGAGACGAAGCGGATTTTTATGTAGTTTGTATTGTTGTATTGTGTGTATTGTGGATATTGGCTTTTGTAACTGTCTTTTTACGTGTACTGTACACCGCCATGAGTCGCCCGTAAGGGCTGAGAATGGCGGTTAATAAGTGCATCTAATAAATAAATAAATAAATCATCTTAATACTTCCATGCTTTCCAACTAGACTAAATGGCAGTACCTGCCATATTGGGCTATTTGCCAGACTCAATCTAGAGCCCATCAGAATTTATTCCTTGCCTGATCTCACAGCATCCACCACCACTTGGCTATGTTACTCCAATTCTCCCTAGCCCAGTGGTTCTCAACATGTGGTTCCCCAGATGTTTTGGCCTTCAACTCCCAGAAACCCTAACAACTGGTAAACTGGTTGGGATTTCTGAGAGATGTAGGTCAAAACACCTGGGGACCCACAGGTTGAGAACCACTGCCCTAGTCCATCTCAGCTCCAGGGTTTTTTGGATGACATCAACTACCTGAACCAGTCACAGTCTGGCTTCAGGCCTGGCCATGGCACCGAGACGGCTTTGGTCGCCTTGGTGGATGACCTCCGCAGGGAGCTGGACAGGGGGAGTGTGACCCTGCTGGTTCTCTTGGACATTTCAGCAGCTTTCGATACCATTGATCATGGTATCCTTCCGGGATGGGTCTTGGAGGCACGGTTCTGTCGTGGCTCCAGTCCTTCCTGGAGGGCCATTCCCAGATGGTGAAGCTTGGGAGATGCCCGCTCGAACCCCTGGCCTTTGACCTGTGGGGTCCCGCAAGGTTCCATTCTGTCTCCCATGCTTTTTAACATCTACATGAAACCACTGGGAGAGGTTTTGGAGTTGGGTGCCAGCTCTACGCAGATGACACTCAACTCTACTACTCTTTTCCACCAAACTCCAAGGAAGCTTCTCGGATGCTGGACGAGTGCTTGGCCACTGTGGCTGGATGAGGAGGAACAAGCTGAAGATTAATCCTGACAAGACAGAGGTCCTCCTGGTCTATCATAAACCAGATCGAGGTATAGGGTGGCAACCTGTGCTGGACGAGGTGACACTCCCCCTGAAGTCACAGGTCCGCAGTTTGGGTGTCCCCCTGGACACTTACGTTTGAAGCTCAGGCATCAGCGGTGGCCAGGAGGGCCTTTGCACAATTGAGACTCGTGCACCAACTGCGACCATACCTCGTGAAGGCGGATCTGGCCAGGGTGGTCCATGCCTTAGTCACAGATTGGACTACTGTAATGCACTCTACTTTCAAGGGCTGCCCTTGAAAACGACCCAGAAATTCCAGTTGGTCCAATGGGCGGCGGCCAGGCTGTTAACTGGTGCTCCTTACAGGGAGAGGTCAACCCTCCTGTTTAAGGAGCTCCATTGGCTTGCTGTTCATTTTCCGGGCCCAATTCAAGGTGCAGGTGCTTACCTACAAAGCCCTAAATGGTTTGGGACCCATCTACCTGTGTGACCGCATTTCTGTATAGGAACCCACACGATCTCTTCGTTCATCTGGAGAGGCCCTGCTCACGATCCCACCTGCATCGCATGCGCAATTGATGGGAACGAGGTACAGGGCCTTCTCAGTGGTGGTCCCACGACTCTGGAACTCCCTCCCCAAGGACATCAGGCAGGACCCAACGTTTGCAGTCTATAGAAGGAGCTTGAAAATGTGGATGTTCCAGTGTGTCTTCCCAGAATAAGGAATCCTAAGCAATATGTCCCAAGTGCACTTTACGAGAGACTTAGAACTGTCTGCATGCCCACCTATCCCTAAAATATCCATCCTATTCCCCTTGGACATGCCCAGCATTTTAAATTTTAATCCTTACATTTGGCCCAGCCATAGGTTTTTTAAATGCGTCGTGTAATTATTGTATTGTTTTGCATTGTTATGAGTTATTTATTGTTGTTTTGTTGTTGTTATGTTTTTATGATGTATTGGGCTCGGCCTTTTGTAAGCCACACCGAGTCCTGCGGGAGATGGTAGTGGGGTATAAATAAAGGTTTATTATTATTGTTATTATTATTATTATTATTATTATTATTGTGATGAAAATCATTGGAAGAAACAGAGAGAGGGTGTAATCCCACCTCATTCTAAAATCAGGAGTGTTTTCAATCACGTATCCTAGATTCATCAGACTTCTGAGATTGGATGTTTAGCTCAATGAACAAACACATATTAGCCAGTGACTGGAAGAGCACATAGAGGAGGGATTACAAATACTTACAAATATTCTCATCGGTCATAACTTGCCCTCTGGAATTTGAAACAGAGGATTTGGATTGCAAGCAATTTCTGGATCCAAAATAACAGCTCCTTGCCTGAATCCAATAAGCTGGGGTTGAACTGGTTGAGGGGTTTGCTCCTCAGCAGGACTTTAGGGATACCCACATCCTTTAATATCTGGAAAAGAGAAAAGGAACATCATCGTGGGAGTCAACATCTGCTAAACTAATAAACTCCAACTAATCAATCACCCCGGTGTTCTGCTGGGCCACTTGTCTTGGAATCGTCATGGGTTCCAATCACTCATTTTTCCCCTCTGGCTATGCTCTTGATGCACAGGTATTTCTTGGGACTCTGTAGTTCTGGACAGACAACATTTAACATCTCTTTCTGTCACCTTTTGGATTTGGTTATTTGGACTACTTGCTTCATGTAATGACTTCTGGACCATCTGAGACCTAGCCCCTGCACCTCTCTTCATCTTCCATGAAGCTCTTTACCTGAACTCCTTCAACATTTACCTATAGCTGCTTCCCATATGATGACATGTGTCTCTGGGTACTTGTAGCTTATAGGTGTAGGAGATCATCTTTAATAAGAATGAATGCTTTCAACTCACATGTATGTGCTGATTCATATTAGTACACATCTGAACATGGTCTTCAGCAGCAAATCTCTCTCATAGGAGCCCCAATTCCCTCTTTGATAAAATGTATCCCCTCTATCGCTGCAGTGTGTTCCCTTTCTATAGACTTCATAACACTCATTTCTCTGTCCTTCCCCATATCCCCATTTATTAAAATACATTAATCCAATATTGCTTCTGCCTGAGCCAGCCATTAGGGTCATCACCCTTTGGAGACCTTCTGGCCAAATGTCATAAGCCTTCAAGGAAGATTAATCCATAGACAAAGGGAGCCATCAAAAATCCATTTAATCATAAACACACCTGCTGATTCTGGGATGTGCATGTACACAGGGGTTAACAGAAAACAATATGACAATGTCCTCAATAGAATGTATCCAATCTGATATATTTTAAACACTTCATATCCCTTGCCTTCCTCCTCTACTTCTTTCTATCCAATATGTTTTATTTTATTTCTGAGAACATTAAAGAAAGACAAGCAGCAGTAGGCTCTTCACTTCTGACTGCCCCTGGCAAGAGGTTGTGGCCTCCAGTGCCCCTGAGCAGTGGGCACTGCCAAGGCAAACCATAAAGCCATTATGTAGGCTTGTTCGAGTTCATTCGGAAGCTTCTAAAATCGGAATTAATTTGGATTAAATTTCCTTTTGAACCAATTTCGAGCCATGCAGAAATAGTGGGAGGAGCAGTTCTGAATTTAAACCACTTACCCATTGTTCGAAATTATTTTCGGATGTCTCCCACAGTTATTTTCATTTTAAGACCATTAAGCAATTTTGGCAAAGCCTAACAAACAGTTTTAAAATCTCGCAGTTTCCCTTCCCAGGTGGCAAGCTGCAATGCAGAGGGATGAGGTGGGGGTGGCTAAGCACAGCTCTTCTTGAAGGCCACGCCCCCAGTGACCTTCAAGAGAGCTGTGCTTAGCCACGCCCACCTCATCCCTCTGCATGGCAGCTCACCACCAAGGAAGGGAAACTGGGGATCTAATCACTTTAAAAGATGGAAACATGCTAAAGGTAATGAGGAGGAGATCCAGGATGTAATTTGATCATTTTATCAGCACTGTCTGGGTACTATCATAATACATTAACTCCATCATTTATCATGGTACTATCATTAGAAGAAACCGCAAGATTTTAAAACTGTTTGTTTAGACTTTCTGGCTTTGCCAAAGTTACTTAATGGTTCTGGAAGGCACCTTCCATTAACGAAGCAATTCGGATTTCTGATATTTCCAATCTTTTTTTCAAGAACATTTCAGAAATCATTTAAAATCGAATCGCCAGCACCCCCTACAACTGAAACAAGTATTGAACCATTTTTTTTTATCAAACAAGCCTACCATTATGAACAAACACCTCCATCTGATAAGCCTCCTGTTCACCATCTGGAACCACTCCAGGTGTGAGCTGGCTGTCACAGGACAAGGATCAGAACACACCTATGGACATTTCTAAGACTTTCCTTTATTCGCCCAGCCTGGGATCAGACTCAGAAATCATCACACATTGACCCTGACATCCTGGACTCTGTATCTGCATAATCCTGTCATCCCCAAACCTGAACATCCATTGTCTTCAAATTCCACCCCAGGACTTTCCTGTCGGGCAGGAGGGGGATCCCACAACCATGCCACTAGAGCCTGCACCAACCAGAAGGCAAGCTGGCTTAGTCACACCTCCTGACCAATCAAGAGAGGGGGCAGGAACTGGTCAATCTCTGTGCTAAACCAATTACCAACTGGGGTGGGAAAATTAAACAGAGATGATGTTAGTAAATGGGTTTTTGCTCTATAAAAATTCTTGCAACAATATAGTTATGCTTGTACATTTTGGCATTATTTGCCATACATTGCATCCCTTCTGCAGATTGAAATTAAAACCTTTGTCCTTGTCTTCAGCACTGGTGAGTCTTACTTCATCTGGGAACATTACCGGTTAGCTTTGCTTACTGGGCATGGACTCTTGGTATCCGCAGTCGCTAGATCTCTAAATTTCAACTTAACCTTAACAAAATAAAAGCCCCTGTTGAAAAAAAACATCAGCCACCAGAATATTCTTTTCACACTTCAGGAGTTTTTTAATACGAAAAAAATGGTGTGCAAATGCAAAGGCTAAATACACACAAACTCCAGCTTCCTCATCTGCCCATGCAATTTACCCTGACAATAGTCTTTCAGTTTGGAAATTCAGAAAAAATAGCAATTCCTGAGATTTCAATATGCACTGATATTGGAGATGAGGCTCAATGCCATAAGGCATCAAAGTCAAGGCTGTGCACGAAAGTATGCTGCAGTTTAAGAGCTAATATAATGAAGACCTCTTCAGAGCATGTACAGAGTGAATTCCCTTCCTATTAACCCTCTGTGTGCAGAGACCATGTCTTTTGTATTAATGTTTCAGCAACAGAGAGCACAGTTTCTATGGAAGCCTGAGGTCTAGCAACTCTCCTTCAAGAAATTACCTCGATAATACTGTGACCACATTTTTCATATCAGTTCCAGCTGTGTCAAATTTGCTTATTTATTTGCATAAAACTTTATTTCAGGTCTTTCTAATGCCTATGTTCCTCTCATTGTCTACTAGAGCAAATAATAATTTCCTCTTCATATGCTGCCTATTTGTTCACAAATCTCCCTTCCTTCAGTTCATAGCTTTCTTCAATTTCATGAATATCTGCTCACTTTGGTTGGCATTTCTCCTGTTATTATGACCAGCATTCAACTCTGCCCACAGCTATGATCCAGGACTGTGATGTGTTCAGCATTCAGTGAACCTTTTGCTATTACCATCAATGTCATTCTCCAAAGCAATGAATTACCTTTTGCCCTGGTTTCCTTCTTGTCTCATATAAATTTCTAGCTTGACTTGCTCAACAAGGCAATAAAAGTTTCAAACCATACTTCTTCGGATTTGGTTCCCTATCACAATTTCCCTGCCTATACCATTTTTCATAAAACCCATCTGTGTAATATCATTCTGAGTTTTTTTTTTGGCATTTATAGTTCTTTCTTCTTCAAACCCTTCTCTGTGTCGTTTTTGTGTGCGCGCTACTAATTAGAATATCTACCACATGACCTTTTCTGTGTATACACTTTGTCTAACTAATCCTCTTTCTTTTGATTTATTGCTCTTCCCTCCTTTATTTTAACCTTGTTTGAGATCATAAATAATATTTCCCCCCTTTTTATCTCCCGCATAATTCATAACACCATCTGGTCATACAGGAATGTATAGAAACACCAGCAAGAACATCTTTTTGATTGAAGAATGTTTTATAAGCAGCAATCACCACATACATCATTTGAGACTAATTTACTTATGTGAAATCACGTCATTTAGCTTTCCTCTAGCAAATCACTGTATATACAATTCACCTGCTGAGGTCACCTAGATGCATCTCACTGACTATTGACTCTGGAAAGCTACATAAAAGTGGTTCCTGAATGCCTTTTGCTTTTTATTGCAAATAGTTTACTTGGGAATTTATTGTACAGAGGTGAAAACCCACACAGAGGCAGGACCTTTGGTGAGGGTTCCTATCAGGCAATAGTATCTGATACTTGTTGCTTATCTGCTATGTCCCCAATCAATAGCCCCTGGTCCCCCTCGATGGACTGTCACCTTGTCGTGGTGAGGGGGCTTGCGCGTTCCGATGAAACTGTGGCACAACAACTGGAGTCGTGCACTCCCAGGAGTGGCGGCGGGGGAGGTTCCAGACCAAGCACAGTCCGAAGACCCAAAGACCTCAACGGCGGAGCAGGCGGAGGATAACATGGCACATGTTACAACGGCTGCGAAGGCGGAAGAAGGCTGCAACAGACTGAGAAGCCACGGTCATTGTGTTAAACTACATCACCAGTGGAACCTCACTCTGTGAAGTCTGTGTGTTGATCAGTTGTGCACTGACCTCCACACATTAAAAAAACCCACACACAGGCGTCTTCCAAAGAAAATAAAAACAAACCAACCAAAGCCCCATGGCGATCAGCGAGTGGCGACGGGGGCAGGACTGTGAAATCTGGAAGCCCCTAGTCACAGACTGGCACATGGGCGGTGGGTACGGACTCAGTCGTTCTACCTCAAGGTCCGAGGCAGTTGAGTAGTTCAGCAGCTGTATCCGCGACTGAGCAGCCCTATTGAGGACCCACTCTGCTCACCCCACATGGGGAGGGGGCTAGAAAAGGTGCCCTAAACATAGTCTGCCTCACTTATCCCTGACTGGACTGCCGCGTCCAGTGGGGTCACCACCCTGCGGCCAAAAAAAAATGAACTTCGGTACGTGGAACGTACGGACTCTGATGGACAACAGTGGCAGTGAACACCCCGAACGCAGAACCGCCATCATTGCAAGGGAGCTGGGACGCTTCAACATCGACATAGCAGCCCTTCAGGAGACCCGGAGAGCAGGAGAGGGACAGCTGACGGAAGAAAAAGGAGGCTACAACTTCTTCTGGAAGGGACTGCCCGAAAAAGACCAAAGAATGCACGGAGTTAGCTTCGCCATCAGAAATGATCTGATGAAACATCTGACCGAAGCACCCACTGGCATCAACGAACGACTCTCAACCCTCCGAATCGATCTTGCCAAAAACCAACGGGCAACCCTCATAAGTGCCTATGCACCAACACTAGATGCTGACGAAGACATCAAGGAGAAATTCTACCTACTGTCAGCTGGACACCGTCCTATCGGGGATACCTAAGGAGGACAAAATCATCCTCCTGGGGGACTTCACGGCAAGAGTCGGCCGAGACTTCGACCTGTGGCCAGGGACCATAGGAAAAGACGGGGTTGGAAACAGCAACTCAAATGGCATCCTGCTTCTCACCAAATGTGCGGAGCACAACCTTGTCATCACCAACACGCTCTTCCGCCAGAAAAACAAGTTCAAGACATCATGGAAGCACCCCCGGTCAAAGCATTGGCACCTCTTAGACTATGTAATCACACGTGCCAGAGACCGCCGTGACGTGCTCCTCACAAGAGCCATGACAGGTGCTGACGACTGCTGGACTGACCACAGGCTAATTCGATCCTCGATGGCTATCAAGATCCTTCCCAAGCGCAGACTCCAAGGAAGGAAGACAAGGCGCAAAATGAACACCCAAGCCCTTCAGAAGCCCTCCAGACAAGCCCATCTCCAAACAGCACTCAAGGACCATCTACCCACAGTACACCCCGAAAATGTTGAGGAACATTGGAACAAACTGAAGACCTCCATCATCCAAGCCTGCGAAGAAACTATTGGATACCAAGCCAAGAAACATCAAGACTGGTTTGATGAAAATGACATCGAGATCCAACAGCTAATTGACAAGAAAAGGAAAGCCTTCCAAGCATGGCAGAGAGACATCAACTGTGCAGCTAAGAAAAAGATCTATGCCAGTGCAAAAGCTGAGGTCCAAAGGTCCAAGAGAACTCAAGAACATCTGGTGGACAAAGAAGGCCGAAGAAATCCAACACCTGGCAGATACCCATAATGCTCAGGGATTTTTCAAGGCCACAAAGGTCATCTACGGACCAAGAAACCATGGCATACAGCCTCTACGCTCATCAGATGGATCCAAACTCCTGAAGGACCAAAACTCAATTGCACTACGTTGGAAAGAACACTACCAAAGCCTCCTGAACCGCAGCTCCAATGTGGCCGAAGAGGTCCTCTCACAAATCCCACAACAACAAACCAGGGATGAGCTTGCAGCACTGCCCAGTTTGGAAGAAGTCAGCAATGCCATCAGCCAACAGAAAAATTACAAAGCCAGTGGACCAGACGGGATCCCTGCTGAAATCTTTAAAGAGGGAGGACCTGAGCTGACACACCAAC